CTGCGAGAAGCAATGAAATCAACTAGACTTTGAGGAAATTCAAAATTTGGGTGGCGGTATTACCACGTGAATTATAAGTTTCGTCTTCTATATGAATCTTTTCAATATATTTAATAATTTGGTAAACTTGCCTGTCGCAGCTAATCAACAGATAATGCAACACTGCTCCTGCAAAAACAGCGATATCGTAGGTTTTTGATGTCAGTCTTAAATCTAAGTCTGACATCTGTTGTCTTTTGCGTAAGTGTACACAGCGTACGGTGTCGCATATGTTCTTATTGTCTCTTTAACGAATGATGTAGAAAATAAAGTACAAATAGCGATATTCCGTTATTTTTATAGCCAAAGTTTTGGAAACCAGCGTAAACAAAAAAACTTACATTCATGCTATGGTCAATCTGAAACAAAGATGACCTTTGTGATTGCCGCATTGTTTTACTCAGCCGAACCAGAGTATCCTTCCTCACTTTAGATTAAATTTCCTTGAACATTTGTGGGCTTAGGCCAAAGTTGAACCACTGATTGTAAAACTATGCAAATAAGTACTACTTTCATATCGCAAGTAGTTCTCTTACTCGAGGGTTTTTAATGGCCTAACGTTAGTAGAATGTAGTTTCGTTGAATGTTTTCGAGACGCGAGCGTTGAGTATCGAGATGATTTGGTATTTGGTAGTGCCATTCTCTTTTGCGTTTATGTTGTATAGGCAAGGACGACCAAACGGAAACAACCGGATAGAGTTATGCAAACGAGGATAAGTACTTGCTGATTGTAGAGAAGCGCGCAGAATGAAAATATTGCCTACGAAAATAACTGAATGAGTTAATCAACAGCATTAAGACATTAATTAGCTTACGGTCAGCTGGTCAGCATGACAGAACGTTATGGACGCACCATTTTGCGTTGTAAAGTGAGTCATAAAGTTAGATATGGGGTTATTTCGTGTCGTGGAGGGGGGAGGGGGCGGTTGTTGCCGCTATATGTATAGGTTTGTAGCGAAAAACCGACATCGTGACTCAGTTATTTTTTTTCATGCATCTGAGATCTTGTTATACAAATGATCAACCGAGCAAATGAGCGGGTTTATTCGGTCGCAATCAGACTCAAAATCTAGAGCCCCGGTCAGTGACTCATCTGAAAAAATGAGTACCGCTTTGTGGGAAGGAAACAATAGAATATTCAATAGTAGCTACAGCTCCTGTTGATTCTACATTTAAAATAATATACCCTCGATTGATGACATTGAAATGTAGATCGGTGGATTACTGGCTTGCGCTCTGAGGTGTTTTCACCTGTTGAATCCAAAGAAACTAACTCTGTCTCAGAATCCGTGCTGCGAACCCGTTTCCAGTAACGTTCATCATTTCAAAGGAGTGGCTAATTCACAAAGCTGGACCCTTTTTGCACGTGGTAATTTACAGCCATGATGCACGGCATTGTTGCCGATTTTGCTTTGCTCCGGACTGAATAGTGGTCACGGACTTGTCAATTTTGTCAAGCCGTCTCTAATACATGGTGCATAATACAGATCAAAATAGACAGCGTATTTATTTCGATAAAATATGTATGAAATTTGAGTTCATTCCATACCCCGTTCCATTTCAAACTTCTTTGGAAAGCATAATGTACTTTGATAAGTACTACTGGCACTTTCAGAAAATGAATTATTTGTCTAAGTTAGATAATGTCAGCAAAGACATGACCGATGTGAAACACTCCTGCTGAAATGATTGCCTTGAAGTAGTGGAAGGAAGGAAAGTTTGTAGCCGTTGAGATAATGGGTTTCCTTACACTTTCATTGTGGGACCATTTCTGGCACCCTTCTTAGCACGAAGTCATTTATGGTGCGCGGAACTCCCATCAGTCAGGAGTGCTTTATTTTTTAAAGCAAAGTCTACAGCAGCTATGTGGCAAGCAGAACATTTAGTTGCCTGTTTCCTTGCCACAGACTGGTACTCATTTATCAACGCCATGAGGAAGAAAGATGAGCGACCTGACCGCGGCTCGAATTCGAGAGTCTGAGTTAGATGGCCTACTAACTGAGGAGCATCGATTTAGAAAGTAGTGCAGGAGTTCTGAAGCAGTGCAGGTGTTCTCTCCGGTAAGCTTAGAGAGTGGGTGGGTGCCTGCTACTCGCCAATGACATTTGCTCCTGACTAAATTCCCCACAGACTGCTTAACTTCTCTGAATACTTTGGACTGTATGAAAAGACATTGGAGAGACATTGCCGGTGGTAGTCGATTGACTGCCAAACAATTACTCGATACAAGTGGAACTTTGACTTTTCGATTTTTTGAAGAGGGCACAACCAAAAGAAATTGATTAAGGCTGTCGGTTAAAACACTTGAAATGGAAATCGCAGCTGATCGTGCGCAACGGCATAATTCTTACCTTCAACAGTAGTATGCTTTCAAACTTATGGTTAGAACCAGATGAAAGCATGGGATGGATACGGAGTCGCGGTGTACCTCACCCTCATCTAAAATTGAGACTACTTGTAACAGTATAGCCAAAGTCAAAGGTTGAAACTCTGGGAATTCTCTGTTAAGTTGACCAGGATTCATTGCAACAACTAAAATAACTGAATTTAATTTAGTGAAAAATACAACATGACCAAAGCCGTCGCCGTGGCGATGAGAATCAACAAAATAGCACACCTCGCAATGTCCGGCCAGTAGCGTGTGATGATCGCGATTCGCTCGGACTCAGCCGTGAGTTGCTGCTCAACCGCTGGCTTTCTGTAGTTCGTACCGAACGTTTCGTTCGAGCTGACGTATAACGGCTGGTACGTGTGCGTCGCCGTCGAGCCATAGTAGTACGTGGAGTAGGAGGTCGTGTCGACTTCTGAATATTCGTTTTCCGATTCGTCGTAAGCCGCATGTTTGATGACCCTGTCACCACCAATCACTTGACCCCGGTTGACGTTAGCGAACCGGGCAAGTCTGTTCCCGCCATCACGGTTGGGGAGGGAAATTCGAGGAAGCCGCAGCTGTGAACCGCTGATGTTCATCGAAGTTGGAACAGTCGGAATCGGCGCGAAATCGTATCGTCCAACGGCCACTGCTTTGCGGCCAGTTGCCTATGACACTCACTACTACCAACTACTAAGGCTTCTCGGTATTGGTAGTGAAACATTATCACCATTCCTGACTACGTCCATCACATGACTTTTCGGCACGACGAGATCTCCCAGTTGAGCCTTAGAAAAAGTTATTTCATGCACTTGGATAAGGTAAACATTATAAAAGTGACTGTGCATATTGGTATGCGCCCAATATAGCTTACATGCTTAGAATTTTCTGGCTTCGAGCAGGACGAGCTACGAGCTGTGTAAAGTAAAGTGGATGTCGATGTTCGACATTCCTGAAGTCTCAGGAATACCTCACAGGTAACCAACGTGAACGGCAATGAATCTGAGCTGTTTCGGTCGTTTGAGCGCCAGCTTATGGCCAATTCAAAGCTTATTTGAATTC